TATATATATATATATACATTATATATATATATATTATATATATATATATACATATATATATACATATATATATATTTATATAAATTGTGTGTGTGTCTGTGTGTGTATGTGCTTGTGCTTAAGTATGTATATTTATGTGTTTATGTATGTTTATGGTGTCTAACTGTTTTTGTACATATGTATGTATGTGTCTGTGCGTCTGTGGATATCTGAGATTCAGATACACGCACACATCTAAGTCGTCATATATGTATTGAAGCAAGTCACGGAGGAATCCTACCTGTTGAACCAGTGCCGAGTATTTCAACTAACTGATAGGGCCCCACCCTTGTTTGTTTCTTAATGAGCAATTCTCCTTCGTCCTCAATGCCTTCGCCTTCCGTATCCATTCGTGGAACCGCCATCTTCGGATGTGAAGTGACATTGAACTTCCCAGTGGGTGTTATGATTTCTAGAGCCGGCACACCTTCTTCCAGTGGTCTTGGTTTAGTTATCATACCGATATCGTGCATCTATTTATTTGTATATGAAGTAACTGTATTGTGAAGATTTGATCTTGATTGGCGTTATTCAGGAGGTTATAATCTGTCAATGTGTTGCACTCAGTTCATAATCTCGGTACGTAGCCTATGAGCGCCTCGGAATCTGTACGAAACAAGGCCTTGTAAGCTTGTACTATCCTTTGGGATGCACACGTAAATACACTACGCTTAGCACTCCCTCAAACAGTCAAACGCTTCTCAAGCGATAGTGATCGCGACACGATACTGGATACACTACGATACTCGAATAGACCTTCCACCTATAGTATTTATTACGGACCAATTTTTGGTCTGATATAGATTTTTTAAGGGTTGCTCACTGTCCGGACTTCACTTGGTATGTCCGATATAAATAGATAACAACGTACGCAGTAATAATTGGCGGAATGCCTAATACGCAAAGTGTCGTAATTACGTAATATTGCAATAATATTTAAATACAATTTTTGTTTTTTATAGTAAAAAAACACTATTTTTTTTTAAAATAGTACACGTATGGTGCATTGGTGCTAAATACACCATCAAGTTTTAGTCCAAATCGGGTTTTATTTCGTCGAGCTAAAAACCGAAGCCTGTATAATTTAGGGGGCTATGGGAATTGGGAAGCCGGTTGAAATATTTCGAATATTGTTTCTCTTCAAATTTGGGATTCTGAAATTCGCCGTTTCCTTAAATAGGCACATTTCGGTCCTAAAAGAGACTTTAGACTGCCCAAAACACCTCAAACTCAGTCCACATGTATAAACTTATTATATGCCACACAAAATGTCCCTCTATCTATAGAGAGAAAATTTAAAAATATACTCACAACGGACTACGCTGAAAAATCAGGAACATATGACCCGTATGGGACATAAATACAAACAATATAGGCACCCATTTTTCAAATTCGCCGAAATTTTTTTTATTGCATTTTTGGATAACTCTCAACCTCACAAGTGCTTTAGCAGAATTTTTGAAAATCATTGATCCAAAAAAAAATTGGCTTGAGTTTCCTGGTTCAGGACTTCCTGACTCCTGCTGTGCTCCATAAATAAATATATTGGCAATATAACTATAGGCCAAGCTCGGTTTCGTAAAGTACCGAACTTCTCTTATAAATTTAGCCAATTTATAATTGTCCACTATTCCCGTGAAAGTCCGGAACTCGTGGGAACGCAGACTGTGACTTTAGTCTCCGGACTGTCTGTGACACGCGACTAGTGCTGTCAGCGCACCACGGCAGGGCGGCAAAATCTGCAGCAGAAGGGTAAAAAAATCCCCCCAAAAACAACTGGGACAGGGCGCTGAGGCCTGAGGGCAGGGGCCCTTTTTTGCCCTCCCCCCCCCGCCCCCCTATGTTGGAGCTTGCGTGTGGACGCGGATGAAAATAAATATGTACATGTTTTTTTTACTGGGGAAAAATGACTAAAGTGTGCGATACAAACGTACAGTCGGAGAAAGCCGCCGATTCAATATTTATTATAAATTATTAGTAACTAGTCTTTAGCTATCCGCACATAACCCACACGGGGACGTCTACTATAACAAAAAACAGAAATAAATCAATATCTGAAACGTTGCAGACTTACTTGTGTACTACTCAGAAACATATTGTAGAAATATAAATATCTGTATATATATTATACATCTATATATTTATTCACATTTATATAAATATATATCCATATATATATATCCGATACCACACGTTTACCACTATACGCAGCAATTATGAGCGAATCTGACTCGTCGAGAGGTCGAAGCCGAAGCAGAAGCCCAGTCAAGGATAGGAAGGCAACTGTGGAAAAGGATACAGAACCCGATAGGTATGTTGTGTATACGTGCGTGTATACGTTATAGGTCCATTACCATACTTCTGCTGAAGGATCGAGTGCCCATATTTTCATCGATTATTCGTAAACAAGTTTCACAACATAAAATTACATCAATGTTGTTATAACTATGTGTACATGCCGTTATATATATATATATATATATATATATTACTATTATATATAATATGTGTGTATCTGTATGTATGTATGTATGTATGTATACATATTTTATTTTATAATATATATGTATATGTATATATATATATATGCGTATGTGCACTTGTGAGGGATTGTGATATATATATGTATATATTCAACTTGTATTGAATAATAGATCGCTGTCGATCGGTGTATAAAGTCATATACGCACTTACTCATTTTAGTTAAATATATATGTGTGTGAGAGAGAGAGAGAGATTGTGTAGATATATAAATATATATGCATATAATCAGCTTGTATTGAATAATGGATCGCTGTCGGTGCATAAAGTCATATACGCTCTTACTCATTGTAGTTTAATGTATATATATATATATATATACGTGTGTATATGTGTATTTAGTTATATAGATCTATTTGAAAGTATACATTATTTTTCATGTATGTTTACAAAAAGTGATTTTTATACAGTGGTGTTGTTGCGTAGTTATCGATATTATTCATTTACAATTCTTTTCAAATATCTACATAATATTATATATATATATGTATATATGTACGTGGGTGTATGTATTCATTTACAATCCCTACATATTTATTCAAGGCAGTCAGTATAGATTTTTGTATATTACATTTCTGGTCTTCACTATGTGATTTTGTATTTGTTAGTTGTATCTTGATCCTTATATTCACTACTACCCCACCGATAGCTCTACCTAGATAGCTCTATACCTACCTCGATAGCCACACCTATCTATCCATATACCTCTACCCCTACACTACCATGCCTGCTGTAGGTCATGACCTATGCTATCTCTACAGTGAAATACAGGTGTGCACAGAATCTTCGGACACTGATGTATTTCATGTCGTGATATATTTCCTTCACATACACACGCGTCGTGCAAACTTTGATCAATGCTTTAAGCATGTACACTTTCAATTTGGATATATGTTACTGTGTCTAGTAAAATGCTTTAATGTAGGCATTGGCATAAATGTGGTCTGACTGTCGTTTTTGTATGTCTTTATTTATATTAGAACCGCTATCTTCATTTATGTTAGAACCTGATGGAGTTCTGGCAGGCGTGTTTTCGTTTATGCAATCGAAACACCATGTACACTCAATATTCTTTTAACTAAAGATAACATTCGTCGTTCGTATATTAGGGCCAAGGACTCGAAAACTGAGACTGACAATAAACCTGACAGCGATACCGAGGAAAAGGCCGACCGCAAGGACAAGGACGGAAAGCGGGACAGCCCCGAGAGAAGCAGTAAGCGCGATAGCAAAGACAAGGATAAAGACAGGAAACGCTCATCCAAGGACAAGGACCGCAAATCAGATCGAAAGGAAAAGAAGTCCAAACGCTCTCGACGCAGTCGCACGCGCAGTCGCAGCGCGAGCCGTGACCGCCGTCGCAGTAGCAAACGCAGAGAACGATCGCCCTCTCGGTAGGGTTATATGGGGTGCTGAGTGTCACTTGGCGTCACTTAAGTGTTGTCTGTTGTTGGAGTCCATGTGTGCTGGATATACTCGTTGCCCTGTTTGAATGCACAGGCGCAGTTGAGCTTTGTGGGCCGTGTGTGCGTCCATGTTGGGTGTGAACTCGTGTGTGCGCAAATACATGGACACTCCTTAGTGTACGTGTATGCGTATCTGTTTGCGTATACTCTTTGGTACACATTCGATTACTTGTCCACACTTCCAATCCATATACTTCACAGCCTAGCCACCCATCTGCGGCCGGTTGTTTTGCACTGAACTGCTATTCATGCATGTTATTACGTATACCGTAGGTTGTTATATTCTGAATCACACTCCCCTCGCATCACTATCACCGAGACCACTGGGATGGCTTTGTCAGGCTGATGATTCGCTGAAAGGTTTGATTTGCTTTTCTATAAATAGTGTAGCAATGGACTTCTGCCTTGTTGACGTATGTATTCCTGCTTTTTGCATATATCGAGTCGGTGTTCTGTCCCGTGTTATACTCGCCCACAATGTAAGGCAGTTTTACCAATTAGAATGTGGGTTTTAGCGAGAAGTGCTGTTTTATTGGTCTTTTAAGAACATAGGGGGCCTATCTTGACATAATAATTACACGTTATATGCGGATTTCTTCGTCCAATTATCAGATCTTAGTCTCAGAGATAGGGTTCACCTTCAATTTTAAACGGGGTGACATGTTTCTTCGAACGCGTCCGAGGATACTCTTCTGAGGCCCTTATTGTTGGTGTTGGCCTGACTCTGCGACAAGGGTGCGACAAATCTCCTTTATATCCGGGTTTTTCGATCATCTATGTTCTTATTTAGCGCGCGCGCATACCCACGCATATAACACGAAAATACACCCTTAAGTCGACATTATCCTCTCGAGAAAAAATGGGGGGGGGTTCCCTCGGGAAGTTTCCATGTTTCTAGGCCTCGAGCACTTACTTGTCGTGCTTTGTGGTCGAGTTAAATGCTGTGTATGTGCTGGACCATGGCTGATAGAAGACACTATGCCGACATCTACACCCGTTCCCTAATTATCAGTGATATCTAAGTGTCTTATCCTTTGCGATTCGTCAAAAATAGTTATTATATCCCATACAAGTGTCCACACTGACTGTACACGTGCTAATGCATCTCCTTTCCTCTCGTTCCTGCCGTCAATGTACTTCGCAGAGAGCGCTCGTCCCGTCGCAGACGCACTCGCAGCCGCGATAGGCGCTCGCGCAGTCGTGACCGCAGTTCCAGGCACGCATACGATTCATACAGAGACCCACGGAGAAGTGACCGTGATCGCAGAGACTATGCACGGGATAGATCAGGCCGAAGTAGGGATGACCGATCCTATAGAAGTCGCCGAGAGGACGACGAGAGGGACCGGTCCAGGCGTTCTAGGTGGGGTTTGTGTTCTAATTGTGTCCTACTTTATGTCTCGATATTTAGATAGATGTAGGCGTTGTTTCCCTTCTTTTGTATACTGGAATGATCCTCTCTGTGTGGCCAGGTAGCTATCTGCTACGGGTATTCATGTGCAAATGTAAATGTATATAGTCATAGGCATTTATAGGCAAATACTAATTTTGTCACGCTATTATTCTACACAGGTCCGCAGTCCGTGAAGAATCGAGTAGGTACAGGAAAGCAGAGACCGAGTCAGAAAAGAAGGTGCGAGAGATAATTGAGGCTATGCCCGAAGAGTTTCGCAGGAAGTTGGATGAAGAAAATGACCGACAAGAACGGTAGGTGGAAGAGGCTTCTTTACAAACGTCCTTCTGTATTCGGTGACCGATCGGAGAAGATACGCTCAGTGTCGTTGGCATCTTTAGAACATTTGGATAGGCAAGGGTGAAGCAGATATTTGAGAGAGTATTCGTAAGTGCATATGTGTGTTTTGATGCTGCACGCTTTTTAAAAAACGCAAGTCGGTGTTTTTCGAAACGTGGCTGCGTTCTCACTGGCAGTGAAGTTGTGTGTCTGTGTGATATTTAGTGGACAGCTTATTCAGTTCGATCTAATGCGATTGGTGAGCCTTAGGAGGCCCGGTGTTCACGATTGGTTGTCGCCCATACGCTTATGTTTGTGATGGTTCGTTTACATGTATTCCGACTTCCTGCTGTTGTCATGTTCCCGTGATATTTATTACTCGCACACCCGTGATCAGATAGATATTTCCTTGTCGGAGTTACCTTGCACTATTTACTGACCGGTCGCATTCACTTCGTGTAGGTCCGTGGTATGCCTTCAATTGAGCCAAAACCTCAAGGATACTGACCTGGTAGACTTCTTCGTGGAGCATGAGATCATGTGCAGGGAAGCACGTATCATCTCAGACAGGAACTCCCGCAAATCCAAGGGTATCGGTATGTACAGTTCGTGTGTGTGTATCCAATAATTACAAAATATTGTTAAATAAGTATTGCACAAAAAAAAATCTAGTGTGGCTCCTTTTATTGTTGTGTTAGTCGTATAATCCAAACATATGTTTTCCTAAGCAAGATAGTATGATCAAACCATTGACTTCTTACGTCAAATGTTATAAGTTCATACCGTCTTCATTTCGCGCGCGCAGTAAGGGTCCAATTATGACGCTCAACATTTTGTCGTCACATCTCAAACAGTCTAACACCCCATACTGTGTTTGTTCTTAACGTCACGTAGCGTATGTTGAACTGCTGATGCACGCGGACATGGAAAAGGCCATTGCCTTAACTGGCACACGGTTGATGGGCGTCCCTATCATTATACAGTACTCGCAAGCCGAGAAGAACAGGTAAGAGTGCATTCACCAATGTTGTTGTATTGTGTATTTGTATGAATTATGTATTGGCTCGTTCCGTATGGAATTGGCAATGATTCCTTGAGAGGACAGTCAGGTTCCCAGGATGCTTCATCCGCTCAAGCTTGTGTTTTGCGACACGTAGTAGCTGCTGCTAAGGTGTATGTAGTAGCTGTCACACATTGATCCCAAGTGCAGCCGCATTATATGTTGAGAAAATTTGTTCGTGCTGTTCCCTTTAGATATACTTACTCAGAACATATCGATTTATGAACGATTACGCAACCTGCACAGAGTCGCACAGCAGCACACGTTGGGCCCAACAAAGATCCAGGTGTCTGGCCTACACCAAAGCTTAGAAGAAAAGCAAGTCAAGTCCCTGTTCTCGCCTGTGGGTGACATAGATAGCATGCTCAAGGTCACCGACCCATTGACAGGGCAGTACACCGGTGTGTGGCATATCAATTACAAGAAGAGTGAGTGTGCGAAGATGGCGATTGAGCAGATGCAAGGCTTTGAACTCATGGGCGTGGGGCTAGTTGTATCGGTAAGTACATTCATATAAGAGAGAGCATCTCTGTTCGGATTCGAGCCTGTTTGAGATGTGCAATTATTTTATTTTTATTTTGCCAGAATCTAGTTATATGATGCAAATCTTCCACTTTCCGTGTAGTGTGAGTTTCAATACTGGTCACTGGACAGAGGCACTTTGAGAAGTAGCAATTAAAACCCTTAGAGTTAAAGTAGCATAATTTAGGCTACCTAAGTTGGTACTCGCGAACTTCTGTTCTGTAACCGCACCTAGCGACGTCGACGTGTTTCCCCTTTCACCTAGTGACGCGTACCCCCTGCTCGTTAGTCGGAATGCCACGCTGTATCTCTGTACGATGCAATACTGGTTTCGAATGCCCTAAGTTCGTGCAATCTTCATCTCTCAGTTCCAAAACAGATACTCGCAATACTTCCCAAGGTCTGTACATGCTGTGCTACACCCCTGGCTGGCGTCAATAAGATGACAAAACTTGATATACATTTACCACAACCTGCCGTCACATTCAGTCTGCCTCCCCCCCCCCCCCCCCCCCAAAAAAAAAAGGGTAACTTTGACTTAATCCGATCCCAATTTTAATTCTCTGACACTTATATCCCACAGTTTGAAGACGCAGGAGCGCCTGCCGTAGACCCCCTCACACAGCGAGCTCCAAACGGTCTTATAATAGGCCAAGGAGTGACAACTGCTATTGCACCAGCTTTGGCTCCAGTACCCGTTCCACCAGCAACCATCCCTCCGCATCTGATGCCCAGTGTGAGTGTACCTGCGGCTGCACCCGTTGCGGCGGTGACACCGACCGAGTGTTTACGGCTCACTAATATGTTTGATCCTAATGGGTATGTTTTTTAGCGAATGATATCACGGGGATGTCTCTGTGTGAACCCTGTTCCGGTTTGTTTGCTTTTCACTGATGTGATACTCAAAGAAAATTCATAAGGTTCAAAAACTTCTCCTTTGTCTGATTTGAACGTGAGTGGGAATATAGTGTTGTGACGCTGAGAGTTCGTGGTGAGAGTGCGTTGCTATTGTGGCATGTTTACGTAATGTGGCGTCGCGCTATTTAATTGTCGCTACACGCGTGTAAACGTGCTACATTGAGGCATCTGAATAATATTCACTGCGACACCTGTTAAAGCAGTGTGGTGGTTGTATGGTCGTGGTACTTGTATCTCACCTGGCAGACTGCGTTCGCTTTCAGGTTGAATTCAAAAACGCTGACCTTTTAAACAAATATCCTAATAATTCAATAGCGAGAGAGATGAATATTGGGAGAGCGACTTAACGGAAGATGTAATGGAGGAATGCAACAACTATGGCACCGTGAAACACTGTGCGATTGACAAGGCATCGTTGGAGGGTGTTGTCTTTGTCAAATACGAGGTGAGTAATGTACAGCTCTATCTGGACGTCATATTGTTTTAGCTTGTCGTGAGTTATACCCGTGAAGTATTTTCAAGTAGGTGTGTATGCTGTCAGAACTTCCTGTGCATCGTGCCATTTGAGGGAGGGACACAAAACATTTCTTGTGTTCTATGTTTGTTTCTACTGATACATTGTGTTGCAACACTAATAGTCTCAATGATTCGCACGCCTGTACCGTTGCATCAATTACTTCTCGAATAGTTCTCGCTCGCCTATTGTGTCCCCTTAAATACACTCTTTAACGTCATATTCTTCCTCTCTATGTTTCACAGACTGCTGATATGGCCGCCGCTGGCCTCAGCAAGCTGCACGGCCGCTGGTTCGACAAAAGACAAATCGCCGCGACATACATCACTCTGGAAGAATATGCAACTAAGTGTTTGTCAGAGTAATAAATACCCAGCAACTGCTCAATAGCACGCTCTACTTTCTACTCGATATCGCGTCCTGAAAGCTCTGAACGTCAACTACTGAGTCTGCAATGCCATCCATGACAGAAAATGTATATCTCGAGTTACTGCAAAATTGCTTTCATATCTTTTTGCGAGACGATCATAACTGTATCTCTGTGTGCGCATTTTCAGTATGTGCATACGAAGCTATTGCTGAGTTTAACTTAACATTCCATTCTGCTTAAATGTTGACTCGTCAGTTTCGCGTATCGGGTCAAATTAACTTAGCTCTTTGTGTACACTCCATATGTCAAACACAAAGGTGTCGGTTTATCTAGGGCTAATTGTGTTTGGCATAATTGGCGTAATTAAACTTGTAGGGAATTACAATAAGATGCGAGCAGAATAAGTTGTTAAGTTTCGGTAGTATTGAGGTCTTACACTTCCGTGTTTTTAGACAAAACTTGGGAAGTTGCAAAAGCGGTGTTCATTATATACCCACGAGTGGAACAAGTGAAAACCATAAAAAATTGTATGTAGAGGCTAACACTAGAAACATTCAGATTATTCGTTGTGCCTCCGAGTTCGCTAGTTGAATGCTTGAGCACAATAGTGTGTTGTATCTACAAGTATTCCCCTATAAGTATCCCCAAGGATCCACTACTATCCTTCAAGTTGGACTACCCTGAGCCAGGCCCATTAATTAGCTTCTCTCTTCTACATCGTGGTCTCAGGTCTCTTGTCTGGTGAAGGTGTAGCCAACTATTCAGTACATAGGTGTCCACCAGAGCGCCCTCCTCATATACCTACAGAGAGCGACAAACTGGAACTACGGCAGCTATGCTTGTACAATCACGAATGTTCATGCGTGTGATATCATACCGCTTCAGATATTTCGAGACTACGCTACAACAGGCAAGGAGCGTGACTCTCTTTTCGTATTCTGTTTATATTTTTCCTGAGTTTTTCCTTCGAAACGCACCCAACAACAGCCTTCAGTATCTCTCTATTGTTGACATGGAGTGGAGATTTGGACAAAATAAACGTTCGCCCGATTATGATCATCCGTTTGTTTTGCTGCCAAGTAGGATCCCCATTTCAAAAAATATGCGACGGGAGAATTTTATTATGGTCAATGGACCAACCAATATGATACCTTGGAGACGGAAAAGATGTGAAGAATATAATTTGGATCCAGGAATAACCAACTAGTCAATATAAAACACGGCATTAACCCAATCTAATTGTACAGCAGTGCAAAGTCGAATCGGGGTTACGTTGGTAGTCTCGATTGACACCGCAACCGAGAATCTGCCCTGAGTACATGAAGTCAAAGGTATCCTTTCCGTCTTTCACATTGCGTTGCTCCGAGCATATAAGGTACACGTGAATGTATAAACAGCGGGTATCCTCAACTCGGAGCGAAAATGCTTGGGAAGTATGATTTACAATATCACGGATAGCAAGACAGAACTTAAAATGTGAAATCCGTGGCTTCCACCACCTAAAAACCCCATAGACTAGGATTGTTATTGTCTTTTCCAACCCAAACGCGCTTATAGATACTTGCATTCAGCTTTACTTGGGTTTGCAAGTACGTAGCAAAGGTATGAAAAATTGGTGAGGGATAGTTGTATGCCTTTCACAGGTCTGCAAGACTTTGACAGTTGGTAAGAGCATTTTGTTATACCAAGGCACATTGTCAATGCTTACCGTGAAGAAAACAAGGAATTCTAGGTGACAGCTATAGTGAGGCTGATGTGATTATGATATTTCCAAGTTTATACGCGTAGCTGTAAATATTCTTTTTAAATAGCAAAAGAATGCACTCACCAACATCATGTACATAGAGATTGATATCAATGAGCACGCATCATGAAGTTGCGAGAAATTCAAGGATACATATAATGACTGCTCGTAATAGAAGATCCTTGAAATTAAACTCTTGACAAATGATCTCTTTAGGTTTATTGAGTGTCATTGATTATAAATATTGAGATGATGATATGTATGGTCGAGTAAGTGCGTGTTTTATGGCTGGATTATAATCACCCGATTTTGTGGTGTGCGCGGCTGCCATGTGGTGATGTTGATCTTGTGTCTGACTTATTTTGTAACGATTCCTCATTTGCAACGCCCTGACATTTATGCCAGCAGTTGCTACATAAACAGGCTCGCACTCCCAGCACGCTGCCGGATTTGAGATAAATTTTAGAGTGTGTTTTGTGTAACCATTCTCTAGAGGAATATTTTATATCCGCGCCCCTTTATATCTGGTGTTTGAAGTAGTTATGCATGTGCTATACACTTGCTAGGATATTTGTTGTTAAATTGCCATACGTTACTGAATGTATAGACCTCCCCTTGCTATGGTCTTTTATCAGCGTGTACTCCTCCACGGTGGTATCAGTTGAAAGTTCACTCACATCTCTTTGCAGCACTGTGAGTCAAACGTTGTTTTCCCAAGTTGTGACATACTCCAAGTACTCTCCAGGCTTACTGCCACACCATCTACTGTGTCTTGTCAATAATCGTTTCGTTAAGAATTGAGTTGAATATATCTCGTAGAGTGATAATATATTAAATTTACCACATTTTCATGATAGGAAATTTTCAAAGTCGTCGCGTAAGTTAACGGACACGTCCGCTACTAAATGTACACCGTCAAACATCATATTGTTTCCCTAACGGCCCTTTGATGATTGCTCCTAGCCCATATGCAGCGGCTATCGGGTTTTGGAATCTGCAGCTTACTGTACGTATCTGGCTCCAGTGTAGCCTTGGCCTAGTGGTGTATGC